TTAGGAGTCTCTGCTGTCCGTGTTTGTTGGTGGGGCTGGTCCCTGCCATGGCCCTGCCCTTGGTGCCCTGTGCTGCAGGCAGCTGTTCCTGGTGTCCCGGCTGTGTTGTCCCTTAGAGCCCCAGGTCTGTGCCCATCCCCTGTCATCTGGGGAGAGGATGACCCCAAGCAGCCCTGTTTCTCTCCCACACTCTTGATCCAAGGTCCCCTGCACTCCCCAGCTGGCACCCGGGGCCCTGCCAGCTGCCTCCCTGCCCTCCTCTCAGCCCAGCCAGGAGGCTGTATAGCCCCCCCCAGGCTTTGGGCACCTGCTCCCCCCAGCCAGTGCTGATATTAGCCCAGAAAGGATGCATTTTCTGGTGGTAGATGTTTGCACAAGCCACGCCAGGCTATTTTCAGGACAGTTTATGCTTCAAGGCTGCTCGTCACATCCTACCCTTTCCCTTCTTATTTGCTTCCTGTCATGTCTGGGTGAGCCATGTGGCAGCCGTGGAGAGTGCCTGGCGTGGCCTCTGCTCCTCATCCCCAGCAGCCGGGACACAGCAGTCATGTGTAGCCTCCCCAGTGCCCCTCCAGGACCAGCACCCCCTCACCTGCCCCTGCTCCCACCGAGGCCATGTTCAGGCAGATGCTGAAGGGCCAGCAACCCTGGTATATCCAGCACAGCATCGCTCCTCCTCCATGCCTCCCTCCAAGGAGAAGAGCTGGACTTTCGAGCTGAACATTGTCCCCCTTTATTGTCCTTCCCTAAAATGGAACCAAAACCCCATCAAAGTCTGAGAAATGCTCAGAAACTGGTCATCCACAATAGATGGCATTGGCTTCAGCTAAATGGTTTGCATAGACAATTTCACTGATTTTTTGGGGGCTAGTTTCAGCCTTTGCACCAATGTCTAAGCCTACCCAGAGGCAAACCAAACCTCTGAAACATCAAGTGCCTCCAACCACAAAATCCTTGAAGCATCATTTATTTTCTAGTGACTCAGGAGGTTCACTGACTCTGCCTCTTTCTATAACCACTTGCACAAACCACAGCATTTGAATATTTTTTGAGTTCAATTTAACTTGGTGCTATTGAAATTCAGCACTCCAAGAGCTTGTTTGCTCCCAGCCAAGCACACTGTGCCCTGTGAGATTTGCACCACACTGGGAAAACACTTTATAAAGCAGCAGCCAAGCTTTCCCTGGGGAATTTGAAGTTAATCAGTCTTAGCTGAAACCCATCCTGGCTCTCCCCTGCCTCGGCTATTCCAGCTGTATGTAGGCATCCACATCCCTTGAATGCTTTTCTCTGCTAGTCCCAGCTCTTCCTCTTTACCAACAGCCTCTGCCACCTGCTCTCCAACCCCCTTTGCCTTCCCTGGCCCTTGGCAGATGCTCCCAGGAGCCCTCACCTGAGGGCTGCTGCTCCAAGGGGCTGTGAAGGCAGCGGCTAATAGGGCACTACCAGGAGCAGCCTGGGGCTGGGGCAGCTCTGCGGGAAGCTGAATTCCTGGGTGGGTAGGGGATAGTGCTGGCAGGGTGCTTGGTGCAAACCTGCAGGTCTCTGCGGTCTCCCTGACTCCTGTGCAAGGAAAATATATCTGCCATGCCCTTCTGTCTGTGCTGCTGCTCCCTGCTGCTCCGGAGCTGGCTTAGTGGGTGGAGCAGTACCATCCTCCACCCCCAGTGCCTTGGGAAGTAGGCACCACCTTGGCAGAATCGGGTGAGATGGGTTTAAGTGCTCTGCTTGGTGCTGAAGGCTGCTCCGGCACCATCCAGCTCAGCTCCCAAAGGCAGGATGGTGCCCAGGGCTGGACCAGCAGCACACAGGCTGCCTGCCCTCCGCTGCGCTCACCACAGCAGGAACGCGTGTTCCCTCTCAGCACACGCGGGCGCTGGGACTTGCTGCTCTCACTCACCCTTTGCTTCATGCTCCTTGCACCCTCCTGGCCCCCGGCTTGCCCATAGCCCAGGCCGTGCCTCCCACTCGGTGCTGCCTGTGCTCAGCACATCTCTGGCACCTCTGCATGGCCCGGCCCCGGGCACAGTGCTGCGGAGTGCTGGACCTGGCGAGCTGCCACCCCCTCCCCAGAGACAGGGTGGGACTGATTGTAAGGCCACCAAAGGCAGACTGGCCCAAGCTGGGGGGGACGTTCACTAAAACTTGTGAGCCAGCAAGCATTTTATACAGGGGGTGTTTGGAGGACGTGTGATTTCAGCCAAGACCCTGGCCAACGGTGGCACAGCTGCTGGATATCCCTGGGGAGAGACAGGTGGGGGGAGGATGCACAAATAACGTCCGTACTCCGTCACGCACAACACCCCCCGCGTCAGTGGCTGGGAGCCCCGCTGCCTCCCCACCATGCTCGTGGGCCACCGGGGCCGCTGGCTGGGCATAAGCAGCTGCTTGGGCTCCTTCTGTGCTGCAATGTGTCACTGCATTTATATCTTTGGTGGTGGGACCCAGCTGACCATCCTCAGTAAGTTGCTCTGATGCTCACATAGGGTCTTCTCCGTGCCAGGGGCACTATGGGCTCTTCCTGGGGTTTGGGGTGTGTTGGGGTTTTTTTTTTTCTTTCTTCAACTTCTCCTTTTGGTTATAGCAGCGTGTCCTCTGTCTGTCTAACTGCACTGAAACATTTGTGTGTCTTTCATTGACAGGAGGAAACAAGGTTTTATGAGCTAACTGGGCTTTGCTGCTTGCAAAATATTTTTGGTCCTTTCAAATCTGCAGACCCTCTACTGATCCCATGGGTCTCGTTCAACTTGTCTGAGCACAGGAGTTACTGGTTAAAAGTGTATCTGTATATTTGCCAGACAGCCAGATTATATTGGAGTTTATGAAACAGGAATTTCTTAACATTTCTCTTTCTCCATAGGAGAAGCTCCCAGGTATGCTCTATGGTATGATGAGGAAATACATAGGGGGTTGAAGTGGAAGGTTTCAAGTCTGAGAAGACAGGTTGGGTTTGCAGGCTGAGGACAAGGTTGCCCCTGCATGTCCCATTGGCACTCAGGAGGATGGCTGCCTCTTCACCTCCACAAAGCAGTATAGCTGAGTCTTGGCTACAGCTGCACACTTGCGTGGCACAGGGCTGAGGTGTGGGATGCTGGTGACAGGGAATCCTGCAGACACGCATGCTGAGTGTTTGCCGGACAGCTAGGGTCTCTTACCTCCAGGACAATCTTTTAGGATTGCTAGGCTGGACATTAAAAAAATAAGCTGACCACAGTGACTTTGAGCTATTAGCTCCTTTGGTGGTGGTAAGAGCTGCACTGAAAGACTCCAGCCAGGACCAAAACCCCACAGGTACAGCTGTGTCCACACTTTAAAGACCTTCCTCCTTCCACATCCACCTCCCTGCTTCGCTCTCTTGCAGGCCAGCCCAAGGTCTCCCCCACCGTCCACCTCTTCCTACTGTCCTCTGATGAGCTCTCAGCACAGAACAAAACCATGCTGGTGTGTCTGCTGGGAGACTTCTACCCCAGCACCGTGCAGGTGGCCTGGATGGCTGATGGCACTACCCTCAGCAGTGACATCATGACCAGCCAGCCCCAGCGGCAGAGCAACAACCAGTACATGGCCAGCAGCTACCTGACGCTGAGTGCCACCAACTGGGAGAGCCACAAGACCTACACCTGCAAGGTCACGCACGAGACTGGCACCATTAAGAAGGTTCTGAATAGATCTGAGTGCTCCTAACGCCACTGGGGAATGGACAGCCCTGGCCCTGGAACATCACATCCCCCGGCACAGTGCTTCACCGCCTGCCCCATCCCTGTCCCCTCCTTCTGTGCAAGTCTCTGCCATCTCTGTGGGCCCTTCCTTCTCCCTGTGCCTGAATGCCTCCCACCTGCTCTGTCCTGTACCCTCTTACAGGGCGTCATCCAAATACACCCTAAGCAAGCGCTGGCCCTGCATCCACATCTCCCAGTCCTTCCTCCTTGGTCAAATATAGTCATGATCCTACAACAAAACATGGGCCCAGTCGGCAAGAGCCTAACGGCTCACTCCCATGTCCTGAGCTTGCTGGGTTGGTCCATTTTCCTCTGTGATGGTCTGTGGCTGGTCCTCAGGTGTCCCCAGCTGGCAGCTGCCTTCCCTCCTGCACTGCTGCCCCAAGTTCTGGTGCACCTGGAGCACAGAGCAGGAGCTATCTCATGTGCTGGGGCTGCACCAGCCCTGAGTTTGGTCCATGGGCACTGGCAGCAAAGTTATTAAATTAAATTGGAGAAAACAGCCAGCCAGGGCTCCTCCGCTGCAGCACCCAGTGCTGACCTATGCCCCTAGCCCTCCCCTCCGCCTGTGGACTGGGCCCCCCGACCCCCACAGGGCATTAAGTGCTGAGACCTGTACTCAGCTCTGTGAGGGCAGAAATAAACCCCCCCCGTGAATTCGACCTTCAGTCATCACCCGCTGAGACATTGATAGGTGCCTTCAGCAAGCATCCCAGGGCGTGATCCTCCGTCATGGCTGGCAGGCTTCATTGGCTCAGGGGGGCTCTGAACAACCCCGCACCAGAGCCAACCCCACACCAGTGCCTTTGCCGGTGCCGAGATGCCAGGTGTGACGGAGGGAAGTGCTTATTTACCCTTAGTGGGATG